TACCACAGCCACGTCGGTCCTGAAATTCGTGACGATGTTCAATTTCACGGCAGCGCAAATACTCTAGACAATTGAACTTGTTGTTGGGCTCTTCATTGCAATCGTCATCCGCCCAAGCTGGTCATTTGATACCAGGGTTTGACTCAGTGCGAAAGCGCCGTTCGGCGTGGATTCGGAGCATCATCCATGTTCGATGATGGTGAAAGTGCCTTCGCACCCTCGGATGGAGGTGCGGTTTTGCTCTGCGCTCGTCGTCGGCATAAGTCGTCTTCGACGCGGTCATTTTATGTGGGGTCATGAATGACCAAGTCTCAGAGTCAGAGAAAGTTTGCAGAAAGTTCGAAGACAGTATGGGTAAACTCACTTTTGAGTGGGGTGGTGGGATGATGTAAACCCATTACAACTGCTGTGTGAACCACATAATTTTGTTTGTTGTTAACATTTACGATATATCTTGCATAGTTGTATATGTTTTATCAATTTAGGGAAGATTTAAGGCCTATTATCCAAAATAAATGTCACTTCACCTTTTCCCCCTCGTTCGCCAAAATCGACTGTTGGTGAAAGTGAAGAACACGCGGTGAAGCGTGTTAGCAATTTAAGTCTTCCTCACTAAGTGCGTGTATACGGACGGGCCGTTCCCGTTACACTTCGGCATCCAATCCTGGTAGTCACTTCTCACAGCTGATGAACGAATCAAGGCAAGCGATTACCGCATCTGACCTTTAAAGCCGCGAGTTTTCTGATCTCCTCGAAACCAAGACTTGACATGAACTTGTGTGTCTTGTTGTCCGGAAACAGGTACTCGAACATCTCATTTGTATCCTCGCAGACGATCGAGTCCTGTCATGACTCGATCGTGAAGTTGACTACAAGTGCTACCAAGTGCAACAAGGTTACCGTGAACTTTGTAAAAAAGCCTAGTCTCAAAAAATGCTGGCTTATAAGCTGTAACCAAGACCAGTACCGAATATTTTTTGTTTGCTTTGCCATATATTTTCCGAGACTGAAACCAAGAATATACGTTTTACCATATCTCACAATAGTACAGACTTTATTCCTCGACGTGCTGCAAGCTGTCCCGTAGTCCCGACATCTTCTTGAATAGCGATATTTTTGCACTTTTAACTATCACAGTTAAAAGTGCAAAGTGAATCTCGTATAGTATACAATACTATACAGTATTGTATAAATGTACAGTAAGTGTAATTTCTTCGTAACAGTCCATTACTTTCTTGGTTACACTGTACAATTGTACGAATAAAATATTGTACAATTGTACGAAATTCACATAAACTGATGTGTAGTTATAGATATTCGGAAGTAGTATTACAGAAGACGATGGGACTCCGTATTCGAGAGATCCGTGGTACATTTACTAACAACATTGGTCCCTCTGGGTTTTATACAATAGCGTGTTGTGCACCGTAAAAATAGTGTAGTTTGCATAAATGGAGGGTACTCAAACACACAATCCCGTTCCAGCAACGGTATTTTTTCTTTCATTTGATTACAAAGAATTAAAATATTAGAACAAGTGGTTTTAGCGGTGTTATAGTTTCGACTCTGGGATTTTAATTTGGTCGATGAAGACGAAACTTCTTTTGCAATCTTATTTGTGAAAAGGCTTAGATCATGCAGCAAAGATGTGCACAGTCAGTATGGCTGATGGTCTTGTGGTTCACTGCAATACTTTTGTCGGCTGCACGCGTTGAAGCGATGCAAACTAATGTATCGAGCATTTGCTCGCCATCCGACCCAAGTCCTCTCGTCGTGAAAGGATCTATCACATATGTTTGTGTTAATGTTAATGATAAATACCGTACGCTTTTTACGCCTATTGCCGACAAATTCATCGTGTTACGCATCAGCGATTGTGAGTTTTACCAGCAATTAATTCGTTGAGCTTAATTTATGATCCAGCTTGGCATTTTTCACTGTTTTAATGTACTGCAGCGTGGAATGATACTCGTATCGGTGCTAACCCTTCAGGGGCATTTGTTACAGTGTCGAGTCTAAAATATCGGACAAACTACAAGTTATATTCGTCGACTTCCAAAGGCCGGCTGTCTCCTTACATGACTGCTATCATATCTGTCAAGATGGGCGTTGTACAGGGCGTAAGCTGGGACGAAGGTTGTTACTTTTGCACTGCAGATATGTGTGACTATAACCTTTTCTCAAAACCCGAAGAAACGGCAATGACACGTTTGAGTGGTCAAGGCAAAACTTGCTATACCTTCGTTGACAATTGCTCAGCCACTAACGCATCGAAGTTGAGTATAGCTGTTGGAGACGGCAGCATCGCTGGATCAAACGCCACTGTGAGCGGTGCCAACACGTCCGCTCAATGCGATATCACTGTCTACCTGGGATGGACTGGCACAGACAAGTATGGAGAGTATTTAGGAAGTGCATCACTTCGAATGTCTCAATTCTCAAAGTATTCAATCGGATCATTTTTCTCGAGCATTGGCGCCAGTTTATCTAAGTTGGCCCCAACTAGCCGTAGCGATATTGCAGCTTAGGCTATACCGAATATACTTCTTGAGCGGTCCGTATTGAGTCAAAAGAAAATAATGTGCTTCAATTTCAGAATAAACTCGCTGATGTCGGACAAAAATCGTGGATCGATCGATTTAAGCTATCGTTTTCTAGCACTGCATCCAGATTATCCCACCAGTGCGGCAGCAGATCCGAACAGATGAGGCGAAACCATGGCGAAAAACTTCGCGTAGGATCATCGAGAAGTGTCGGCAAGTGTTCACGAGTAACAAAATCGACCTGCTCAACCTCGTTCTTGTTTAAATTGTTCAATGGCACCACGCCACGTGCGAAGAGAATATGATCCATCTCGTACTCCGTCCAATTAGCGTCGGATGAGGCCTAAAAGTGTCAGCGATCTGAATCAATAAAAGCCTTGAGCTAATATGCTATAAGCCATTACGAAATACCTTGTACATGACCTTTGAGACGAAAGAAATATCGTCAACTGTAAATGTAGAGGTTGGAATACCGAGCTCATGCTCTAGCTTTCGAATAGCTGCACGCTTGACGCCAATACCATCTTTCAACTCACTTTCAGTATACAGCGGATGACTGAACAGTGCAAGACCAGTCAAATCTGTCTCTATGCTATACAAGAAATCGCTAACATGACCTGCAACAAGAGTTGGCCCAAAAGCCTGGAAATGTGATTTTCTTACGTGCACGCTTCTGAATGAGCAGCTCATTTTTTGGATTGAAAACAAAAATACTGAATGCACGGTGCAGCACACCGTCGTGTATATGTGCTGTACGCACAAAAATATAGAATTGGTGAGTCTGTCACCCAGTCAAGAGAGCTCCACTTATATATATACCGTCTTTCTTGCTGATGGGCCCCAAAACGTTATCCTGCTGATCCACCTGCACAATCCATTCCTTCATGTATTGCAACTGCTCAGCGTCAACGCCTGCCGTAATATCATCAAAAGTCTGTCGACCTAGTGAGCTGAAGGCCATAGTGTTGGTGCGCACTGCTCTTAAGCGGGAGAAATTTGTCCACATATTCGTCAACGTCACGGTTAAATTATTTATGACCAATTAGGTAAACGTTATCAAAGCGTCTTTGTAAGATATCTATCGCTAGTCTACCTGACTATACTATTCTGTCTTCTGGATTGCCGATAGATTAAAGTATCAACGAGCCCGCCGATTTTGGTCGACTAGCAGCGCACCCAACATTAGGCTAAACAGCCTCTCTAACGTTTGAAGTCATCCTCGTCCAGATTTTGGCGCTCAAGCGCCTCTTTTGCTCGGTAAATCTTAGACTGTATGTAAAAGGAGCCGCCTTTTGCCGGGTCATTCGCTTCAAAATATCTTTTAAATTGTCGTTGAACATCCTCCAATGATGGGGCCGGACCACTAACGGGAAAGTTGAGAATCTCACGAGCCTGCTGAGTGGACATTTGATTTTTACGCACTACTGCCTTGGTCTTCATGGCAGCAGCGTTACCTGAGCGCGCGTTTTGGACTGCTTGTTGGTAGGCGTGTACAAATGCCTTAGACACGATGCCCGCACCCATGACAACAACCTGCGCAATAATTCTACCCAGAGGTCCCGACATGCTTTGCTTCTTTGCTCACCCTTCAAATTACAAAATCGTATTTAAAGAGAAAAAACAATGGACGGCAACGTTGAATAATATATGAGAGAATAAAAAAAATGCCCCAACTTTTGCCACATATCCCAACTTTTCAAAAAATAAAAAAAATACACAAGCACGTAAATTATCACCGGGGAGCCGTAATATTACACAACAGAAGATGTTTGTATTA